TTTAATGTCCAATCCTCCTGAATACTCAATCAATAAAGTGATATGTCAATGACATTAATATCTATTCATACAAGGTAAGTACAAATGATGCATCCAATTTTAAAAATTCATACTATCGAAACAACTACTCCTATCACAACAAGTGATGTATGAATGTAAAGAGAAATATACCGTGGTTTTTTTTCTGTTACCAATGTTCAATATGTGACCCTTTTACACGGTATACGTCCACTCCGTAATTCAGTTCGTTCCATACATTTAGTAGCATCACTCTATCAATGGTTTGTAATGCCACACAATTGCTTACTTGTCGTTTTCTGTTATTTGTTATGTCAATTGCTAATGATACGGCTTGAAATTTAATTTTTTTCGTAAAATTTTCTGTACCATTTTCTGGGGAGCCAGTTCATGAGCAGCAAATCTCGTGGACTTCAAACAAAACTCTGCCTCATTATCTCTATTGCTTCTTCCGAGACGCTTAGCAGACCGCTGCTTTTCTTTTTACACAAGCAACCTGTTTTCTTAAATTGATTTTGCCATCGCAAAATGCTGTTGTTGGATGGTGCTTCTTTTCCGTAGTGATTTCTAAATGCACGTTGCGCCGTAATAATTGAAAAAACCCGTGCATACTCTAGTACACAAAAACTCTTCTTTGTCATTGTCATTCTGTTTGGATTTAAATCACAACGATCTTCAATGTGTTGTTTATCACTAGTGGGAAAAAAACTTGGTATATCTCTCTTAACATTTATGCATCACTTATTGTAATATATGCAGTAACTTCCAAATTATGATTTTTTAAAATCGGGTCCATCATTTATACTCACCCTGTAGAAAGGAGAAAAGCGACTCATTTGTTCACTGATCACGATATATCCGAAACTATTAGTCATACAGACTTGAAAATTGGCTGGCATGTTTTTTTCATCGAGTAGAGATCCACTATAAACGAGGTTCGCAAAAAACTACCTCCAGGGAGGGTTGCCAAAGGATTAGAAACGTTATAGATAAATATTCCCGAGTTTGAACTACTAGATCTACAATAATGAAATTTAGTAAGCATGTTTCTTTTGTTGAATCGAAACCCGCTAAGAGTAGGTCTCACAGAAATCGTCTCTCAAACAGGGTACGGACTTAATTGATAAAAAATTTCCGCGTTTGAACTACTATTTTTAGATTTGAAATTCAACAAACATATTTATTTTATTGAGTAGAGATCCACTAAATATGGGTTTTCCAGAATTCCACTTTGGTGGAGGGGGTTACGAAAGCCTAAAATATAATTCTTGTTCAATTTTAGAAATTCAATTCCTGTCCTTTTTAAATCAAGAGATGAGAGTTATAAGAATTTTTTTTAGTACAATCGAATGCTTAATGAAACTTAGCGAAAAGGGTGGGTAATGGCTAGTCTTTTATAATCACTCATTCCTGTTTTTTCCTTTCATGCCTTAATTCCTCCTGATCCCTCATTTGAAACAACAAATCATGTATGATGCAAAAACAGCAACTACTACAACTTGAGGTTTGATATTTATCAATGACCAAACACAAACCTAAGATTATCGTCAAGGGTGCAATTCTTCACAGCAAACAGTTAACAATGATCTGCTCCAGTGATGCACGCAATGTGATACAAATCACTCCATGCCACTCTAGCACACAAAATTCATTGCCTGAAATTATAGACCACTATGACACATGTTAGCTAAAAGAAGAGTGATTTACCTAACATTATGTAACCCGAATCGTGGCTACGTCAAGCATAAATGCTTGTTTTTGCTTATGTATGCTTGACAAAACAGCGAATTGAGAAATAGATTACTTATATGAATTCAGGAGAGCAAACAAGGGTTAAACATTAAAATTTGTGGCACCCTTGGCGAATTGTTTTATTAGAAATCGTCAAATTTGTTACTTGAATGTATCTTAATTGTTACTATACTTTTTAGAGGAGGCATAAGAAAGTTACATATAGAGTTATAGCATTTTTTTCTACGTATCTTTAATACCAATTGGGAAATAACTGAAGTCAATTTTATTTATCCTTATTATCTCATTCTTTGCAAATGTTTGGCGAAGTTTATCCCAAATTGGCTCTTGCGTCATAAAACCCAACAATCACTCCTGCATTTGTTCCATACGTCAGTGTTTCTCAAACTGTGGGGCACGCCCCCTAGGGGGGCATGATAACCCTACAAGGGAGGCGCAAGTATATCAAAAAGTCGAAAACAAAAGATTATCTTTAAAAAAATTTTAATTTACCAAAAGGAAACAAAACAAAATACAATCAGACACAATAAAAAATAAAATACACATTTACACTAATATAATGCACTTATAAATGCATCAATACTGCACAGTGTGTTTCATAATTAATTTAACAGTACTAAGCTAAGAACAAGCTTAATAACTGCTAATGACCCTATAGACATGACATAAAATTATATACAAAATTTAATACTTATCTTGACAATTTGTACGGTTTATAATTAAAGTGGTTTTGTAGCTTTACGTCAAGGCACATTATTACTGAACTCAATACAAAGATACTGCATGGATGGGGATGCGATAAAAATTATGATTGAAAATTGGGGTATAAGTATAGAAAATTTAAGAAGCACTGCCATACGTATAGTTTTCCAAAGATTCACAAAGAATGCTGTTGGGAGAAGAAAAAAGGATACATTGTTGCCATGCGTTTCACCGTGGGATACATTTGAAACACGAGAGGTAGGTGAACAGAAACATACAATGCAATCACAGAAGAATGTAGATTTTATTACTAACGATAATCCTAGCATAGCACCCCTGCTTTCTATTCCAGACGGAAACTCATTTCAGGTGAAAGTCCAACTTCTTTTCCCGAAGATACATCCATGTTTTATCCTGGATTCGAACCCGTGTCCATTTGATTACAAGCTGAGGGTCATAACTACCATACGGGCTGGGCGGCAAAATGATACGTCAATCAAGAGAATAAAATCAACCCAAGTAAGCATACAACTCTGGTATTAATATAATCAAGATTTTTTTAAACATTTGTTTATTTTGAAAACACTGAGTTTTATTTTGTAAAATTTCAGAAATCGTTTAAATGAAATTTAAAAAATAAATAAATTTGAATTAATGAATTTAAATGTTATTAATGAAGATTCGGTCACTGTATATTTCCAAATATATGCGGATCTGTCAAAAATGTATCCAAATTTTGAAATCTACTTATAATTTGAAGAAAAGAGTCCCGTAATTTTCAAACATGTTGCCATGAGAACAAAAATATTGCTAAGTAGTTAAAACGGGTTGGAATACTTTTTAAACAAATTGATGTGCAGTAAAACGCCGACGACGATTGCTTTATTTCTGGTAACCCTATCTGAGGAGCTAATATATTTTTCTCATTTATTTGTTATCTTGTTCACGATTTCTGTGCTGGTCTACAACATGCGTCATTTTTTCTGTTTGAAAAATAAACAATAAGAGAAATTCGTATACGGCCCATGTTTCATCGTCGACCTATGTTTCATGTCCTCGAGGCAAAATCAGCTACATGAAGATAATCGCATGCATTCAGACATCTCAATGAGAAAAGGTAAATTTTTCGAACTAGCTGGAAAATTGGATTCTGATTTTCAAGGATTTATGTGGTTTTCCTTTTCTTTTAGAATAAAAGCCCTTATCAAAATACTTAAAATGTTATCAGATTAAAATCTCTTGCGCAAAGCTAACGGAAAATGTTAACGATTTTTTTACGAGATTGGCGGATTCTTATATAAGCCAATGCACACCCTTACTTTTACTATTAAATTATTCCAAAAATTTTTGGCTTGTGCATGAATATACGAGAAAGGATCTTAAAATAACTAGAATTTACTATTTTTTTTTACTTATCAATTCTATTGTGTGCACTCTACATTATCCCCCTTCATAGTATTACACATGCGCGTTAATCCACGTCACCCAACGCTTTGCCATTGCTCAAAAGGCTAATGCTCAGTTTTGGAACTCTTGAGGCAGGATACTGTTCACAGCTATTAGAATGTTTTCTTTGGTTTCATCCACTTCTCTGCATTACTTTTCTTTAAGACTTCTCTTCATCCTTGGAAACAAAGAAAGTCAAACGAAGCGAGATGACAAGGTGGTTTCTTCAGAAACTTGGTCATTGATATTTCCCCAATAATCACCAATTGCACGTTTGATTTTGGAAATGTTTTCATCATTTCTACCTATCGAAGGAGACCTTGGGTATAGCATGTCTTTAGTTGACATGTTGCCAGATTTCAAACGGGAAAACCACTCATAATACTCCCAAACTATCATCATTAAAGTCTTGCCTAATAATCCCAACTGCCTCGGTCACAGTTTTCCCTAACAGAAAGCAAAATTTTACACATACTATTCATTCTTTGTGGGTGGCCATCTCACTAATCAGCAAAATATTGAAACAGTTACGCACAAAACAGAGCATCACAATAATTCACTTAACTCAGTCTAACACCAGCTCATTAACAGTTGCAGGAGACCCACAACTAACACTATCTAACAGCATTACTCGTAACTATAAAGCATGCACTCACAACAGTTCTGTTCCTGTTATTTTTGGATTCCCCTCGAATACAGCATGTGAAATCAAGGAACAAGTGAAAAATACATTCGCTACAAAATCAAACAGTCCTCAAGTTATGTACCAATAATAATTGAAAACATTTAAAACATAGCATTCAAAAAAATTAAGTCAATTCCTACTTAGGTCAACAAAGAAAATTTTTATATTTTAGTTACTTTTTTTATTAAATAGTTACAATTAATAAAAAAATATCTATATATGTATATGACAGGATCACAATATTAAGTGGCAAAATAGAAAGCGATTTTCCACTTTCCTTTTTATATAGGGTGTTGGACTATTATTTTTTGTTTGTTGCTATTTATTCTTTAATTAAATTTAATTATCCTAATAAAATAATATAGTAAAAAAGGAATCACGTTCTTGGAAATTAGGCCATCTCAGGAGGGATTCGAACCCACGCACTTTGGATTAGAAGTCCAACGCACTATCCATTATGCTACAGGGACACAGCGAAGGATTTTCCTTTCTATATATGCTGTTGGACCTTTATTTTTGTTACTATTCATTTAATTAAGTTTAACTAATGAATTAATATTTGAAAAAACTGTATTAACATCAAGCGTCATCCACTACAAGTTAAGAAAAATGTATTTGAAGTTGAATGGAGGAACCGAAAGTATTTTATTAATGATTGAAAATTTGAACAAAATATGCATAGGGAGAGAGTGAACTAATAGTAATAATTGAATAAAGGGAATGATAACCTTTTATATAATTTATAAAATAATTTGTATAATTTTCTTCTGATAAAAAATTACTTAGATGTCTTATTATTATAATGGAGAATTCTTGGGAATATCTGTCATTCTAAAAGAAAATTCTGAGAATAGAATATTTTTAGTTTCTTTTTTTACGTCAAGTAAAAAGATTTCATTCCAAACAATCCATCACCTCAAGTATCTATTTTCAAAGCGGAATTCCCTATTCCCTGTTGAAACCTTTGCAGCTTCCTGTGTTAGTAACAATGGATTCTAACTCAATTTTTCCAATTGAACTCTATGCGATGATGAGTTCGGATTCCCTACTGAATAGCAGAAGTAAAGAAATATATTTTCCCAACCCAAGAAAAGATTTTACGCGATCTTTTTGTCTTAAGAGTTTGATTTAATTAAATAAATGTTTCGGAATAGGATTTTTGAAGGCAAATGCTTCAAATTCTAAAATATAATTTGGAAACGATTTCGTAAAATGCCAATCTTTTTCTGTGTTAAGAGAGTTGAACGTATTTAAAAGAGTTATTGAACAGAAATGCGAAATATATATTTCTTTTGTGAATTTTTATGTTACAGTAAGAATTCGCATTTTAATGTTTTAAGAGATATTAATAGTTTTGAAAAGATTGGTTATACGCTTTAAACATTAAACTGATCAGAATTGAAGTAGATAAAAATATTATCAATTCTATATCAATTATACTGATAATGTCTTAGAATTTAATTGTGGAAAAAAGTAATTAGCAATTTATTGCTGGTGTGTAAGTAATTTTAAAGTGTCAAGGAAAAAATAGAAAAAGAATAATCATCTTTAACTACGAATACATTTATTTTTTGGTTTAAGCAATCTTATAAACTGAAAATTTTAGAATATTAATTTTTTTAATTTCACCCAATTAAAAATCTTTCCTTATTTTTTTTAAAAAAAATCACAGCAAAAATTAGAATTTAAGTAAATATTTTTAGTAAAAGTATTACTACTGGTAAAAGTTTGAAATGTCATTTACAAAAAATATTGAAGGATTTGTGAAGATGATGGGTTTTCATATGTTCTAAAAAAAATATAGCAGTGAATTTTAGGATAAGTTTTCTTTTACTTGAATAAAATATCCAAAAATCGTATTATATTATTGCTTATTATAATTTTAAATCTTTTTTACTGACGATTATACTCGTTGTAATATACTCTCTGTCTCTAATAATCTTTAACTGAAGTCTTCAACAAGTAGACGTTAGGAGAGGAGACTGCCAGTTTAGTTGTCATCCTCGTCTTTTGGCTGTGGTTCAAGATTAGAAGGACCATCTCCAATAACTTTCATATTGCTTTACTGTGTGAAGTAAATTGAACTCAAAACAAATAAGCAACTAGACTCAAATCTCTTTTCTGATATCTTCAGGTACTCGAAATGCTTCAACTCTCTGAGCAGTTTTAAACCTTTTTCTCAGTATTTTCTCATGTACTCTTAGCAGTTCATTCACTTCTTTTCTGCGTGTATGTTTATGTAGCATAAATCAGTGCTTCTCAAACTTTCAATACTCGCGACCCAATATTCAAGTATCATTTTCATCGCGCCCCCTCCATATAATAACATTGTATTGAATTCAATAATACTATACTTTTACACTAAAGCTACGTGGCCGCGGTAGCCGAGTGGTATAGGTATCGGATCGTGGCTTGCCTGGTCACGAGTTCGATCCCAGTACCACTAAAGACCCGCCGTGTAGGGCAGCGATGCACGTTAAATCTTTCGATCGCTGAAACGTCCTCCCGTTGGTGGGGTGTGGTAGTTAGGAGAGGGGGTGCCAGCTCAGGTGTCGTCCACGTCACTTGACCATGGTTCAAAATTACGTGGTCCGTCGCCAAAAGCCCTAGTGTAGCTGAACAGTGCGACGTTAATATTAAATCAATCAATCATTACACTAAAGCTACAGTGTGTGTGTGTGTGTATGTGTGTACGATTTTTAACCTCTTACGTGCCACCAACATATATAAACGTCTCGTTCTGCCAAAGCATTAATCTTCTAGACGTATATATACATCTTTCCGAAGTACTGATGCACTGATATCCATCCACTGATTCTGTGCACTGATATCCATAAAATTATTCCTAAGGTTTTGGAACACAACAAAATGACCTTGACAGTCTTTGCAAAGGATTTAATTATTTCAGAGGATTTTGCTTATTTATTCCTTCTCTCCCCCTCCCCCCATCTCCAAAACCATCAAAATACGCGCGTCTACGTGGTAAACCCTGGCTGGTAGAACCCCCCTCAGTATAGAGGGCGCTGCTTGTAAAAACATGCTTTGTTTACACCAGAGATCTTGTGTACGTGACCGAGTGCAGACGCACTCCATATTCCATTAAACTTATTATTTAATCTTACACTTGTCTTCGATGATTTATTGAATTTAACTGAGTCTAATGATTGTGATGATATGAGCGTTGATTGATATAAAAGCATTCTACCACTGATTAACTGAACCACCGATGATAGTAACACTGGCATTGGGGACCAGACCGCGTAACTTTTATTCGGCAGTTAGGGAATTAATTATAAACCGCACAAATCATCAAGATAAGTGTCAATACAAGCCCATGGAGTCATTGGTAATTATCAAGCTTGTTCTTAACGTAGCATTGTTAAATTAATAATAAAATACATAGTACAGTGCAGGTACTTTTATAAGTGTATTATATCAGTGTAAATGTGTATTTTATATTTTATTATGTCAGAAAGTATTTTGTCTGCTTACTTTCAGTAAATTAATAAAGTTTTAAATAATCTTTAGTTTTCAATATGCTCGCGCCCCCCTTGTAGAGTTATCACGCCCCTCAAGGGAGGCGCGCCCCACAGTTTGAGAAACTCTGACATAAATCATTTACATACAACGCAGCTCCTTCACAAAGAGAGATTCTTCTATAATATAATGTCATAAAGTAGCCCATGAGGTCGGTTAAGGGAAAATACGCGTCAGAATCCGTGACAAATTCATTATTCAAAAGCAATTCTTATCCGTCTTACTTTCATAGGTTCTAAAATATTTAATTTAAAAAATACATGAAATATGTTGTTGCTGTTACTTATGCCACCTGATCGACAGTAACATTGGATCAAGGTCCACGAAATTCGTCGCGGCAAGGGGCTAGATTTTTATCCTGCCATTAGCCTTTGTGCACCGCAGAGGGGAGAGTACAATTTTGCTCGGTACCACCCCAATTTTGAGGGAGAACACTCTGGAGGTGGTCAGGGACCTTCCACTTCTCTTCCCCTTCTACCAACTTCACGAGAGGACTTGCAACACGATGGCTATTTAGAGTACCCCCCGCCACAAAAGCTATAAAAGCTATAAAGCCACAAAGCTCACTAACCACTATAACGGATGGCAGGCAGGAAACACTTGTCCTTTTTGATGTTGCTGGACATGAAAAATTGAATTTTTTCATTCTTTATTTTCAATATCACTTAGATTTCTCCTATAATACTGATAGTCCAATTTTTCTGTACCTGATGGAGGGCTACGTAAAATACGAATTACTAACATGCTATTTTATTATATACAACTATTTTATTTTTCATTTATGTTAATATATATATGTAAGGATAATTAAATTAGATTAAAAATTAAATTCCCTATCTAGCACTTAACTCATCTTTCTCCGTTCCCATATTCAAGTATCAAACTAATCACCCATCTATTTCTTCCGAACATATGGCTTAGCCAATAAACATGTCTAATTCCAGATCGTTAGATTTAATAGTCAACATATGTCAGCATTAACTTGCAAGCACCATCTTCAAAGCAGCGATACTTACCATATGTTTTCAAGTGTTATCCACTTGAAACCACCACCATGGCGTGCTTTTTCCTCCCAGCTCTCAGAGTCAGAACAGATGTAGAAACGAGCGAATAAAGACCTTCCTTTTTAAAACTTTAATCTGATTCTGTCTTCAAAATCATGACATATATATATATATATATATATATATATATATATATATATATATATATATATATATATATATATATACCGTAAAATCCGGCGTATGAAGCGCCTTTTGAACACAAATAATAAGGTCGAAATTTACTGGTACGTGTTATACTCCGGATATATAATTAGAGCTTTAAAATAAAAAAAAAGATGCACATAAAAAAATTAGATATCTATATAGTTAGGAATACTGTTTTTTAAAAAGAAATGGCATACCTAAGGATTTTAACGCGTTGTAGTTTTAGAAGTATGCTATTTTTCAAAAGCCTGGGATAATACCTCGAATAAACGACTTCAAAACATAAGAACATTTCATTTATACATTTCAGGTTCCTTCATAAAAAAGGAGGGGGGGGGCATTATACGATGAATGTATCTAAAAACTTTAAAAAATGTAGTTCGAAAGTATAGGTGCGCGTTCCATATATACTATACTCCGATGAGCGTTATACACTGGATTTTATGATATGTAGATGAAGGGTTTAGGGCTCTGTTATAGGGGTAGGCAAGGATGGCTATTCTATTTCTTAACAAAAACACTAAAGGCCGTGGGTAGCCTGGTGGTTAGAGCATCGGACTCCAGACCGGAAGGCCTGGGTTCGATGCCCGATGCCACCAAACACCCTTCGAGTACATACGGAGTACGTGCTCGTTAAATCAGTGGGTCCGAATGTCTTGTGGGCTGAATCACAAGTGCAGGGGACTGGAGAATATTTACCTCCCCTCCATGGCAAAATTGTG